TTTTGAAGAATCCGAGCGGTTGCCTATCCTTACCAGCCGCGGAAGCTAGTGTGTACCGTGTTGTGAAACTTGTATGGAACGCGTCGGTAGAAGAAAGGACGATGATCTCTGTGTGTCATCCTCCCTGTAACCTCCTTCCCCCCCGTTCGTTGGCTTCCTCTGCGCTTTGCACTGGGCGTGCATTAACACCGCTGGAACTATGTCACCCATTATGGAGAGCCGCTGGAACGGAACAGGAACTTCACTACCGGGCCAATCACCGGCGTGCAGGGCTGGCCGCGCCGCCGCCCGCAATGGAGCCGACGGAAAACGAAAAAAAAAATAACACACAAAAAAAAAAACACTACTAGATTCACCCTTATAGCTGGGATTACGACACAAGATTGACTACTACGCAGTACAAAATTGCTTGCGCATTCTAAAATTGCCCATGCTTGCTTCTAACTCCGCGCCCCACTTTGCTGAAATCCGTTTCTTTTTTCTGGGCCTCTTTGGCGAGGCCCTTTTTAGCCCCCGCCTGTGCCTTCCCCCCTCACACCCCACGGCGCCCCGCCGCCCGCTCCCTGAGGCGCAAGGAATGCACCCTGGCGTGAAATTCCAGGCGCAATTAGGGGAGGAAAAGGCCGAGTTGAGGCTGTGAGACAGGTGCAATGCAGCGGCACAAAGCTAGAGGGGAGAAGGGGGTGGGGGCATTGTCACGGGACACGGAGGAGAAATTACTTGGAAGGGAAGGACACACACACACACACACACACACACACACAATGCTGCCGCAATGACCACCACGGGGGCAGCAGTGTCCACGACCTCTCTTCCTGGGTGGTGGCGCAGCGTGGGGCCATGCGTACTCCACCCTGCGCTTCCAAACTCTCCAGTCAAAATACACCATTTGTAACTCGCCGACTAATTCCAATTTATTTTATTTTTCCTGTGGCCCGCTGTGGTCTTTCTGTTCCTCCGAACCAGTGGGGACTTTTGGGGCGCATCGCCTCGTGTAGGGCTGTCTGTGTGTGTGTGTGTGTGTGTGTGTGTGCGTGCGTGCGTGCGTGCGTGTGTACGCCCCGCGCGGTGGGTGCCCTACAGTGCGCCCCGTGTGTTTATTCTCCGCGGGCGCGGCGGGGCGC